TGTGTGCAAGGTAAAGGCTTTGCTTCCTATAGACTTCCATAGCCTATAGACTTCTCCCAGGGAAGGTTTTTGGGTGTTTCTGGGCTCTGCAGCCTTGCACAGATGCAAACCTTTGCAGCAAGGAAAATGTTCCCGTGCATTTCGGGACAAGGACACAGCTGAATGCGCAAATAGCTAATTCCTTGCTTTCTAACCAGAGGACTTTGTTTATGGTTGGAAACTGAAGCTCCCGTAACCCCTTTTGCTCTGGTATAAATCAAATGAGCCAGAATTAAACGAGCAGGGTTGTTTTTTGGACATACATTTCTTATGCCTAAATCCTAGGCATTCAGAGCAAGGCCCTGCACCCGGCTCTGTTCCCTACCTGCTAATGTCCCATTCCAGACACGCTCACCAACGGATATATGAAATATTGGTCTTGCATTCGGGCTTGATTTAGTAAGTGGGAGACCGTGGTGGAAGGAGTGAGGGGTGAGTTGTAAAGGGCCCTTCCTGCCAAGTTCCCTCTCTCACTTGATGCTCTCCAGCTCCTCGAGAGGAGCAGTGTAGCCATGGGAGAGGTGCAGAAGAGGAGAGGTGTGATGTTAATCCGCTTTCAAAGGCCTTGCTCATTTGCACAGCTCACGGCGTGGCCCTCTATCACAGCAGCTATTTCCAGTATTTACTCAGCCTAGGATCAACCTTTTGGACACGTTGAAATAACCGTGGTATAAACTTGCATTTAGCTCCCTGCAACTGCTCTGCAATGAAATAGAAGTCTGCCTCTATCTGACTTTATGTATCTTGAAAGTGTCTTTCTTAATGATGCTTTGCTTTATTTATTTATTTTTATTTTTTGACTTTATGTATCTTGAAAGTGTCTTTGCTTAATGATGCTTCGCTTTATTTATTTATTTTCAGTTTGAATGGTTTCATCATCTGTCTTGTCCTTTTTATTTTGAATGGTTTCATCATCTGTCTTGTCTTTTTTTCCACGAGCAGGAGTGAGAAAAGGAGCGTGGCTCTTTAGTCCCCTAGGAAACACAGTATTTATTGTCCCCAGGGGCTACGTTAAGCATGAGACCCGCTCCTGTCCCCATCGAAGAGCCCGAGTGGAGACAGACGCCTCCCCCAGTCACAGCTACCTCTGGGACCTTCCGACTACGGCGAGGCAGTCGGTTCACGTGGAGAAAGGAGTGCCTGGCTGTTATGGAAAGGTAGGTCTCTTGGGACATTTTAAAGCCAACTTTAAGTGTGTTTTTTCCTGCTCTGCTGAGCACCAGCTTCGTCTTCATGGATGTGCTTTGGCACCAGGATCGGGTTAATCATGTGGTTCTAGACTCCAGAGTAGGAGATAATTCAGCCTATTTGCTTAAAAAGTGTCTGTATCTTGTAGCCTCTGAGCCTTAGCTCACTTTGACAGTATTGGTGCTTAACTCTGCTTTTAGGCAACTTTTCTCTCTGGTTGAATCCAGCCTCTGCCTTGCTGGGCGTCTCTGCAGCCCTTCCATTCTCCATTTGCCCTCTCCCCGTTCCCAATTCCTCCTTGTAACACATCAGGTTATTCTGTATTCAATCCTGGCATTTCCACAGCACCGGAATCGTTCCAGGTGCTGCAGAAGGGCAGGAGGCTGCCTAACGAGCGGGAGATTCCTGGTCCAAACAGGCTCTTAGAGCCCTTTTACCTGAGCTAGGAACAGCAGGGAGCAGAGTGGGTGGTTATGTGGAGCGGAGGGATCAGTAGAGCTCCTCAGCCCTGCAGCCCTGCTCTCTACTTACTGTAATCTCTCCTTTGTGGAGCAGACTGGATAACAGGGAAGGGCTCAAAGGTAGTTTAGGGATGAATGTTTATTTCCTTAAAGGCTGAATGGCTGGGAGGAGTTTTCTGCCTGCCTTTTCTTCGCCTTAGCATGGCAGGAACCTCCCATGTGTGCAGCCCTCCTCCCTGCCTCACAGATCCCATCAAGCCTTTAGGCAACGGATTTTTAGGATCTGCTTTTGCATCCCTGAACCTTTTCCCAGCCCCTCGCTTGCCCTTGGGCTTTGGAGCGGGTTAGAGGGGCTTTGCAGGGCTCTCTCTTCTTTCCTGTTCTTCACTTTGCTCGCTGCATCCTGCCTTGTGCTTTCTTGGCTCCCGGGGTCCTTTGGACTGTGCTGTTAAGTGGAGACTTTTGCCTTGATCCCAGCTCCAATATTAGTTTGTGAAGCCCTCGCTGGGTCCTGGTGGACCTAGATCCTCACCAGAGCTGCCCTAAAACCTCCGTATGACTAAAAGTGCCCCGTAAAGCAGGTTGGGAATGTGATTGCTTAACTGCTAGGCTTTAATAGGCCAAGCTGAGCTGTAAGGGCAAGTTTTGCAACAGCGAACGGAAAACAGTCTCCAAGGGGACCTAGGAAGTCGCTAACTAATTTCATTTAGAGTTTTAGAGTTTTTTTTTAGAGTTTTCCAGGCAGCCCAGCAACGCGGCCCGCAGCAGCAGCCGGCATGGAGGAGGTCGGGTCGGGCCTGCAGGATGCCCTGAGGTCAGGAAGAAGCAGCGTTTGGCGCACGGATAGTGTGGGGTGTTGCGTGTGGCCTCGCTGCCTTCAGCTGGGAGTTTGCTTTTCTCCCAAACAGATCAAGTTTTGACCATGGGTAGAGACTTGTGACCAGCAACGCGGCTCCGTGCTCTCTGGCTCCTGAAAAGGAGCTTCCTGCAACTAGACCTGGCTTAGGTGACTTAGGCAAATGCCTAGGAATAAGAGGGTTAATTCTGGGTATTAACAGCTCTTATGGTAGGTGGTTCTTCCTACAATCTAAAACCCTGCAGCGAAGCTGTGTAAGCACCGCTGGGGTGAGGAGCAAGGGCTTGGGCCGCTCGTTGAGCTGGATGCGGTGAGGCCGGCGGCTCGGACGGGTTGAGAGGTCGTCTTGAAGGGAAAAATCTGGATTTGATGGTGAAAAATTGAGGGCAGTTTGTTCTAGAGAGACAAATACCCTGCAGCTGGAGAGGCCCCGCGCTGCTCAGGACGAGGTCCGTGAACTGGAGCAGGAGGAGGAGGTTGGGGGCGAGTTTCTCTGGTTCTGAAGATGTAATTCAACAATAATTCCAGTGCAATTAGTTATTGTATTAGTGCCATCCTGATATAATGAAGATCAGAGTTAAGGTCAGCACATACACACTTAAAGGGCTAATGTACACGCGTGTCTGTATGCAGGGCATGCCTATTAAAGAAACTCTAGGTTGATACTGGCTTTCCAGAATGCTGCTCGTGGTTTCTGTGGCTCAGTTCTCCAAATTTACTGTTTATATTTGGAAAATAGCCCGGGATAGTGTGTTAGTCACCAGGCTCAGATTTCAGACAGTAGGTTCGGAAGGGCTCTTTCTCCTTCCGTCTCCTTTCTGATTTTTGCTTTTTTCCCCTGTTACCTCTCGGAATATTCATGATCCGCAGGTTAAGAGGAGCAGTAGTTGCAGAAAGCGAAGTCCTGTGTTGAGCTGCAGCCCCAGCTCCCTGTCGCTGCGGGGCCGCGATGCCAACCTTGACCCGTTCCCTCCGGAGCCGCCTCCGCGTGGGATGCGCCGCGTTCCGCAGGCTCCGACGTTCCTTGAGGAACGGGAACCAGCAGCAGCCGTGTGCCCAAACCAGGGGTTACACTTAAAAGCCTGTGCCCGCTTCGGCTCTGTGTTCCTCCCCGTCACATCTCATCCCAAAGTTGTTTTTCTTCTTTTCTGCTTTACTTCCCAACCCCTCTCATTAAAACTGTGAAATTGAAAGTTTCCTCAGGGTTGTTTTTCTTCTAATGTCTCTTTCTATTATTATTTTTTAATACGGCATTTGTGTTTCTCCTCTAATCGTGTTTTGGCATTGGGGTTTACCTGCCTTTTCAGGAAAATGGTTGCTAAAGAACCGTATGTGATGGGCAGCTGAGGTTCAATCCCAAGACAGCGGTTCTGGGCTTTCCTTTTAGATAGATGCTTTATGCAAAGAGAAATGTAAAGCAAGTGTAAATTCTGCTCCGAACAATTCAGTATCCCAGTGGACCTGGGAAGCTTTGGCCTTTTCCATCCTGGCTCCGGGTGCCCGGAGGGCAGCGCTGGGCCCTGCACATGCTCCTGGCCCCGAGCAGACTCGGCGCTGCCGCGTTATTAGAAACCCTTCCGATGCGGAGGGCTCTTAGCGCAGCTCCGCGGGCGCCGGGGCTTCCTCGGCCTCCCCGGGGAGAGCCAGGGCTCTATTAGCTGCTGCAATTCAGTTAGGAAATTTTCTTAGTTAATTTTAGCCCATTACTCTTAGTTATGTCTTCTAGCAGAACCTTAATAGCGGCCCCCCAGGGGATCCCGGTTTCCTGCGCGAGGCTCGGGAGGAGACGGGAGTTCGGGATTCGTCGCGTTTCGCCCTTCCCGAGCCCGGAGCAGAGCAGGAAGTCGAGTCTTGCGGGCTCTGCCATTAGGCTCCAGTCTTGGCAGGAGCCGGAGCGTCGGCTTCTCATCAGGATAACGAGGTTCAGGAATCCCACGCGTGCTCCTCGAGCCCGCGGGTGGCCTTGAACCTTTCTGCAAAACATCTACCACGTCCTTGGGCGAGCAGCATGCGAGGAGCCGAGGGTCTTTTGCCTGACCCGGGAAGGTTTGCCTTAGGAAAAACTTTTAAAACAGCTGGTCCCTAAGCACATTATCCACAGAAATTAAGAGAAATTCGCTTAAAATTGATGGTCCTGGTATACCTGATCTTACTTAACGCTGGGAAAACTATCAGGTGTCGTGTTTATTTATTTTTTTTTTTACCCCCCAGCTCTTTCTGTTCTGTCAAAAGGCGTTTGTTAGGAGTCGCAGGAGGAGGTTTAACTTCATTAAGCCCTTGGAGATTGGGGAAATCTGACTTTTTTGGCTCTTTGTTACTTGCTGTTAGCTCTCGTCTTTGTCAGGGAGTTTAGGTGTTTTCAGTATCTTTGTTCTCTTTTTTCGTTAAAAATAATAAAGATCTGGGGGAGGAGCAAGTCCTTCCAGATGCCGGGTAACGTTTTTGCATCTGCCAAGGTCAAAACAACCGAGAGGAGCTTTTGCAAAAGGAACGTTCTCAGTCTGACCCGTGACAGCGCTGCCCAGTGCCAAAAGCCTCGTTGTAAGGATGGGGTTTCTTTTCTAGCCTCAATGACCTGCCAGGTTTCTCCAGAGCAGGTTAGATGCTGCAGCATTTGCTCTCCCTGCTTGTTGAAGATGCAGTTTCCAACATCTCTTGGCCCTGGCACAAGGGTTGACTTTGGGACAGGCTTGTGCCACCCCTGGCACCTAAGTGATGCTGCTGGGTGGGACAGAACGCAGATGATGGTGATGATGATGATGGGTTGTCCTTCTTCCTACGTGTCCACGCGTGGCTGGGCATGAAAGCTCTTCTCTGCTACGCCAGATTTTGCCAAACCCTTCTCTTGAAGCCATGGACATTCTTCTTATTCACATAACTCAAATTCCTACTAGACCATACTAAGGTCCTGAGGGTACTTTAGGAGGCCTTATTCCACCTAGTTTCTGTTTTATGTGTTAAAATCTGTTGAAAATTTGGAGGCCTCATGTGACCGAGTATCATGAGAAAGAACAAGAAAAACATTGCATTTACCTTGCCAAGATCATTTAATTGATACAGTTCTGTCAGGCTGCTGCTTGTTTATCTCTTCCCTGCTTTTATCTCTCCTTGCCTACGTCTTTCCTTGCCTGGACTTAACATCCCCCTTTGGCTCTTTTTCCATCTCCTTGAACTCCTAAGGAGAAGTTGGACAGCTCTGAGCTGCCAGCAAATATCCCTCCAAGTCCGAGTTGAGCTCGAAGGACCAGGGAGATTTACCTGCCCTGTGCATGGAATAAACCTCCTTAAGGGCACTGTAGAATTAACATCTTGAGCAATCTGGATCAGCCATCAGGTCGGTATCTTCTCACCTTGTACTATGGTGCACCTGGTTGTAAGTCACTTTAACCACAAAAGTCACTGTCGGGCCCTAAGTCCTTTTTGATCAGGATTTTAATTTCATTTTATTTCACTTTTTGGTAGTCGAGGATAGCAGAGTTGACCTTCTTATTCTTTTCTTTCCCTTTTTTATGCCATGTATAACTTTGAATTGGGAATACTGTGCTCTTTGTGAGCAGCTCTATCAACAGAATGGAAGATATGGACCTGTTCCAAATAATCTTTAAAATATGATTTCTTTTTAAACAAACAAAAAGAAAAGCAGGATAGGCAA